CACACATCTCCGTGACAAGACAAACGGCGGTGAGAAGGACACCGTTGTTCTTCTCGTTGAGGAGGGATCGTGTACATGGAATAAACATTTCCATGAGTTCGGGCACTTTTCGGATAATGCGATAGGCGCACAAAGTTGCCTAAATATTCAGAAAAAGACCGCTAGTAAAAAAGTGGTAAGAAGCGGTCAAAAATTGGGGCCTCTGCAGAATCTATGCCAATATATTTCTTCTTCAGAGGACCGCCGACAAACGATGATGGATATTTAAAGACGTTCTAAAAGCAAGGATTGCTTTCTTGGACTAAAGCAGCAGTCATGATTATCGAAGGCTTTAGTAAAAAACGTCTTATGCTAATGTTGCTTTGGTGTAGACTTAGCGATCCTTTTCTTTTCATACTCCAAATGCCGTTTTATTTGATTTCGGCGTAAAAACTGACGCTGACGGCCATCGAAAATTTCCCAAGGATATAGGTTTATTAGGTCTGTATGACTGCGCTTGATTCTGGCAAATCAGTCCACTCCTAACTACAAGACTCTGGGAGTGATGCCTTTGAAGGTGGTCAACTGACGTAGGACTTCGGTCCTACTCAGGACTGAAGGCCGAACTGCAACGGCCGTCCCCTAATGTGGCCTGATTTACGCGAGAGCAGAGTCGCCCTCATGGAATCCTGTTACGGGTAGTGGGTACGTGTGTGATGCACGCATACCAGTTGCTTAGTTTTGCCAACCACTATGGCCGTACCCACCCCCGGTCGTCTTGACATTGCCGGAGAGAGAGGAGAGAGTGCAGCAGATGCAGCGCAAGTCTACCTCACTAAAAACTTACCTACGCGTGCATGTCACTGGTGATGCGCCCACTCCCCAGGACATGCGGTGGAAGACACTATTCGCGTCGGTCCAATTAAAGTGATTACATTGGTCAAAAACTTTACCGGCGTAGACTTATAACCCCTTTAAGTATTACCCTCCAGAACAAGAAAGCCTATGCGGCAAACAGAATACCTTTTTCTTGATGTAGGGATTAGAAGACTTGATCAGACGCTCAACTTCCCCGGCCAAGTCCCGGCTCATCTCCATTGAGCAGATGGAACCTAGCGTGCAGAGGGCCAGACTGGTGACATAGACTGTGGAGTGGTTCAGATCACTGGAAAAGAAGGCAAAAAGACAGAAGGTTGAGAGAGTGCACTGCGTGCAATTTGCGCGGGTCAGACTAGCTAAGGCTAAACACACTTTTTCAGAGAATTGGTGACCAAGAGGTGCACATCGGAGCGTTCATCCAGGAGTAGCATGGCGCCCAGGTAGCCAATGCGCTTGTCTGTAAATCGGTTGGAGGCAATCAGCTTGAGGCATTCCAGCTATCGGGGGGACAAAAGCAAAAGAGGGTAGCGTCAAATTCTAGAAATGCGAGCCAATTACTGAGAAATGTGTGTACTGGGCAGAGGGAAGGAATTACAAACTAGGGTGGACTTAACTGGACCTACAGTTATCACTCATAGCGGACAGAGTGAGTCAACCCAACCATATCTTACGTCACTGACGACTGAACTCAGACCTCGCAGACAAGTCAGTGTGTTTTCGTGGAATGATGAACTGATGGGGTTGAGATTCAGGCTGCAAGGGCTCCTTCTTAACCACTCTCGCACACGTTAAATCTGAACCGCTCACTCTCTTTTGCGTGAAATCCAGATGCTTGTGTATGTGGTGGTGG